ACCACGAGCGCGAGAACAATATCCAGATATCATTGAAGGGGGCGCTGTCATGATCAGCGACAGGGAATGATAACGAAGCTCCTCCACCGCAGCTTCCATCCGTTGGTCGGCGGGCCCGAGAGACCAGCGCAGTGGAATGCGAAAATATTTCATTATTCACCGCAGACGCCACATAATCCGATCACCCCTGCGAGAACGACAACGCCTCCAAGGGTGACGGCAGGACGATATCGATAACTGAAAAGATGACCACTACATCGAGGACATGTACCTGGATCCTCGAGGTTATCAGGCATTCAACCGCTGGCATCAACAACAGTTGCGATGAAAACATCAACGTTGGCATCGATTACGACAATGCCCGCATTGAAATCTCTTATTCTAGCTCCACTCAGATCTCCTACTCCAGTACCGGCATCATCTCCTACTCCAGCACCTCCGACATCGCCAACGCCTGCGCCGTCGACAGCAACGCCGACGTGGACAACGAATCTAATTGCAGCTGCCTGCAGCTCCGGCGACTCGAACACCCCCCCGAGCTTCTCGCAACTACCCTCAGCAGCAACGCCGACGTCGACTCCAGCAACGGAGCCAGATCAGGGGGCGGCAGCTGCGGCAGCTGAAACGGAGAGGAACACGATCATCTACGAGGGCGACGAGCCTCCAACGGTCGACTGCGGTTTACATACAGTTGTGCAACCATCTTCGATGCTAGAAACCTCGGGACCAGAATCGCGAAAGCTTGACGTCGCCAGAGAGTTGGGAGATGTTTCGAAGATCAATGTCTCACCATCACAACCCCCGTCGAACAAGCGATTGCGATGTCGGGAAGCCTCGGAACCCCCATCGACGAAGTGGCCGGATACCGTTCTGGATTCAGCTGGACCTGGCGGCTCAAAAGTGATGCCGCCACTCCGTTTAACATATACGAAGCGCCCGAAGACACTAGAGACTTTTCCAGCTTTCGGGGGCCAGCGCAGATGCATCGACCACTTTCAAGTTCTGCGTCCTTTTAGTGGCTGTGTCGTCTCATAAGAGCTCGATGAATGCCGTCGCATCGTGACGAGCATGGCGCGTTCAGTATCTGATAGTATACAACAGAAGAGCGACGCAAAGACGCGATGGCCGGCAAGTGATTCACATTGGCTTATTCCTGGGCCGCTCAAGGAGAACAGGTGTCTCTACTTCGACTAGCATACTGGCGGGGCGATCTACGCATCGTCTGACGACGCTTTGACGGAGGAGGATCTTACTCAGTTCTGGCTGCTGCTTGGGGCGGCGGACAAGCTACGGGCGGTTGTCTTACCGGGCTTTTTAAGGAGTATGAGCAGGGCAATATCAGGATCATAGAGACAACCGTGTGTTTCTTTGTGCTACCGCTGCTCAAATCCATCTACGGCATTGTGGTCGCACCCTTGCTATGGCAGCTGGCGCTATCAATTCATGTGATGGGCGGTCTTCAAGGTTCAGAATGCGTTCGGCGACGATTCCTTGACGTGGTCAAACACAACGAGATCATGATTGCATGGGCTGTGCACTTTGATGACAGCATCGTGCTGGCTCGTTCAGAGTACCTGCTGTGGTGTATTGAACCCGTGGCGAAGAGTCTCGGCAAGACGAAGACATGTCAGTGATCACTCAAGCACATTGAAGTGAGCAGTGCGTCGTGGACGAACCGGCACTTGTTCACCCGCCAGCACCCGTTCACAGAGGGCTTAATTCATATCGAGGTTCCAGTGAAATTCAAGGACAAAGTTGATCAACCAAGCGATCCCCAGCAAGTGCACCATCTACGTTCAGTACTGTGTTCGGCTGTGGCTTTTCCAGGCTCGAGAAGACGTGAGCTATGAGACAGCTCAACTTTAGCTAATAGCGAGGAGAGCGACGATTGGCCACTCGAAGCAATAACAATTTGATGGTGGAGCGCGCGAAGCGAAAAATGATGAGGGCTGCTCTCCACTTCCCCGCTATTGAGTATCCAGTATGGCTCGCTTCGGTTTGTGATGCAGGCCGCGCTAAGACAAATATTTCGTACCAGTGGAATGCGTGGCAGTTTGGTAGATGGGAAATAGAATGGATCAGATCAGGCTTTGTTCAAAAGCATTTGTCAGTGCGCAATGCGGTTGGCTTTTCGGCGGCAGAAAGCTAGCTCTGAATTGGCAGGAGAAAGAGGATTTTCCATTGTACAGGCTCAATTGAAGCCATTGCGGGCTACAAGGTGAACCAGACAACGCAGTTCATCGCATCGTAGGTTAGCGGAATGAATTCTGTGACGCAACAAGCAGCATTGAGCCAAAGACACGATGGTGATGTTCGGTTGTAGGTCTGGCTGTTTGGCAAGTGTATTGTGGCGTGAAGGGAGTTCCGAATTGCAAGTCACGAAGGCCGGCAAATCTAAGCAGGAGAGAAGAAACGATTGCTTGAACAAGTCGGGTACTTCATTCACGTACCGACTGAACTGGTCATTGTGGACAGCCTCGCGAAGAGTGGATGATTCAACTCGTTGATGGACCACTTGACTACAGGAGCTCGGGCGGTGGCAATGCCCAGTGGGAAGCAGGCGACCGCGCGCTGGGTGCCCAACCAGCTGGGCAACTACACGGACTAGGGCCCCTTGGATCTGAAGGCCTGATTGCCGCCCGATGATTTGCACCTCTCTCTTCTCGTCCTATTCGGGCCGAGAGGAGATGACTTTTTCAGGGTTTTTGATTCTGATTAGAGTGTTTCACCGAATAAGCACCTTCGAATGATTGATCCTGGACGCTTGAGCCGGAGCGAGACTGTAAATTAGGTCGCCGGTGTAAACGACTAGGTTCAGCATTTGTTGTTGTCAGTGTGACTGTGGATTGTATCGTGCGACAGGCATGCAACTAAGTTTCCTGTCGTAGCGCTGTTTTTGCGAACGTATGCGGTTAAGCTCTATGCGAGGGGAGGGGGGGGGGATTGGGATGAAAACCTTTTGCTCCACCTCTTCCTCTCCTCCCCTTCCTGTTTCCACCTCCACCTCCCCACCTCCACCTTCTTCGCCTGATTCCGACGACCGTTCTCATCAACCTTCTTGCTCGTCGAGATTTGCAGGTTTGCGACGTCTAACTTAGTGGATTTTTCTCTGCTGCCATGCCCTGCGGGTGCTGGCAGAGTTTGCCCAGGCCCGCCTGAAGGCCAGCCTCCTTTCGACCGTGGCCCTTGGCCATCCGTTCTTTGTGTAAGACATGGTTTCTTCGGGCAGATGTGCTGCACAACATGTTTATCACAGGCTGTGCACTTTGGAGGCATATGCGCCTTCAACATGTCGTTCTTACCATAGCCCTCGCAGTCGCGGATAAGAGTGAGGGGGTGGCGGGTCGTCGGCAGTCTGTGAGACTCTGAAGAAGCTCGCCGCAAGCGCCAATTTTTTCGTAGTCGTGCTCCTGGTAAGTCAGCACTTGTTCTGCTAAATCAGCCCTTGCTGGCCCATTTCCTCGCATCGACCTCCTCGCTGTCCTTTCCATCGTCGCCATCATCCTCGTCCTTTGTCCTTTCGAGGGGGCACTCGTTGTCCTCATCGTCGACGCCGCAGCCAGCGCCATGGCGCCAGCGTCGACCACGGCGAGTCCAGCCCGCGAGGTGTCCGTGGGCGTCTCGGGCTTCGGGGAAGGCACGCACGCGCGCAGGCGGCACGCCGCATGCTGTCAGATAGGCTGTCGGTGCCCCTCGCCCCCCCTTTGTCATGGCGCCAACCTCGCAGAGCGGATTTCGTTCGAAGAACGATAGGATGGGCCCAGAGTGCCCTGGAGAATTTCTTTCCGGATTTCGATGTGAATTTCGTGCGGATTTCTTTTGGCCAGGCAAGAAGACTAACAAGCATCCACGCGAAATTCATTTCGTTTTTCACTCGCTGTTTCGAGGTTTTGCATGGACAGGAATTCACGCACAAATCGGCTGCAGCACGTCTGCAAGGGTGGCGCGCCGACCCTTGGCAAAGAGAAGAACGGCACCGAAAAAAAGGTAGATCGCCGAGGCCGAGGCAGTCGCATCGCGGCCAGGGTTGTCGCGCCAGTTTCGGAAATTCCACGGGCAAGCTGCCTCTGTTCTCGCTTTTTTTCGCGCGCGCCCGTGTGATGTACAGCCACGGCTGGTTCATGTCATTGCGTTAGCGCTGCCTCCTCCGCCTTCCCCGTCTGTTTTTTTTTTTTTTTTTTTTTTTTTTTCGCACGCGCGTGATGTACAACCACGGCTGGCATCATGTCAGTTCGTTATAGCGCTGCTTCCTTCGCCTTCCCCGACTGCTTTCCTCATCCCCGTCCCCGATGATACGACCCTTCGCCAACGCAAGCGCGCTGGGATATTGCGAAGGCCTTATGGCCAGCGCCGCTTGCCCTGAAGGGGACGACGACGACGACGACGACGACGACGACGACGACGACGGCGACGACGACGGCGAACGTCCTCGATGATACGCGCTTTCGCCAACGCAAGCGCGCTGGGATACTTAACACCGGTGCTCACCCGCCGCCTGCAACAACGGAGCTCGGCCAAGGAAGAGCTCGGCTGGCTGGACTCGGCCCACTGGGGCCCACTGGCCTCGGTTTTTCTCATGGCGCCAACATCGCAGAGCGGAGTTCATTCGGAAAACGATAGGACGGGCCCGCAGTGCCCTGGAGAATTGCATTCCCGATTTTGAGGTGAATTTCGTGCGGATTTCTTATGGCCAGAGGAATGAAGACTAAAACAAATCCACGTGAAATTCACGTCGTTTTTCACTCGCCATTTCGAGGTGTTGCGCTAAGAGAAATCCACGCAGAAGTCCGCTGAAGCACGTCTGCAAGGCCGGTGCAATGACCTTTCTGATCTCGGCATTGGCCAATCTGCATTCGGCCCAAGAAAATTCGGCCCGTACAGTGATGGGGGCCCATGCGAAGAAACACACTGCTTGCCTCCAGGGTGCCCTGGGTTTCTTGGGTTTCGATGGTTTTGCGATGGAGAGCGTGACGATGTCACACGTCCTGGGGTCTCAGGGTTGGATTTCTTGTGGAAGGTTTCTTGTGGTCGGGCCTCCACTGTATTGGCCAGTCTGCGCTCGGCCCAGGGCACATTCGGCCCCTAGCCATTGTGGCTCGAGGCCCTGTTTGTCGGCTCGGAGGGCCCCTCGCCTTGTAGCCGGCTGCCCGCGCGTGGCCGCCTCCGCGCCCGCTGGCGCGGTCCCCCCTGCCTCGCGCTCCGCAGTGTCCGCGCTCGGCCATGCCAGCCCGCCTGCGCGGCCGCGCCACCGCCGCCAAGAGCCCGCCCGGCACCCGGGGTCCTGGCGCTCTGCCCCGGCGAGCGGGCCGCGCTCCCGCCCCGACCGACGCCGCACCGCGCGGGGGCGCCCGCCTACGGCAGCCGGCCCTTCCGGCGGTGCAGGGCCCGACGCCGCCCATGGACCTCTTCCACAAGACGCGGCTGTGCAGGTTCCACGATCTTTCCCTTTGCGCCAGGGGTGCCGAGTGCAGCTTCGCGCACGGCCAGGGTGAGCTGCAAACAATGCCGGACCTGACGAGGACGCGCCTCTGTCAGGACCTCATCAGGACCGGCATGTGCAACAACAACAGGTGCGCCTTCGCGCACAACGGGACCGAGCTCCGCCCCAGGCCCTCCAAGAAGAGCATCCTCGCCGCCCGGGCCTCGCGGGCCGCAGAGGCCCCGGCCACCAGGCACTGCTGCAGGGCGGTGTCCCTGACGAGCCCGGGCGCCCTGGGCATCGCCGGGGTCGCGGCGGCGCGGGCGGCGGCACAGCAGCAGCCCTCCGCCGCCCGGGGTCGCCGGGGCGAGGTCGCGCACCTGCAGGGCCCGGGCGCGCTGGGCGCCGCCGGGGGAGTCCCCCAGGAGAAGGTGCCCTGGCGCGGCGGGCAGACGCCCTCGCGGACCCCCTCCGACCGCCCGCTCGGGGAGGCGGCGTGCGCGCCTCGCCGCCTCGACCGGGGCGGCTCGAGCCCGGCGGCCTCCACGGCGACGGGAGGCGAGCTCACGCCGCTCGAGAGCTGGCCCAGCGGGCCGTGGCAGTGGGCGGGCCAGCAGCGCACGCCCGCGGCCGACCCCGAGGCGCACCGCGAGGGTGACGGCGAGGGCACCGATGACCCCGCGGACGGGGCGCCGGGCATGGAGATCGGAGTGAAGAACACGTTCGTGCATGTGACCTCGACGCCGACCAGCCTCCGCCGCAGCCGCTCGTGGCCAGACAGCTTCTCCTGACAGAGCCGGGGCGTGCGGCGCAGGAGCGCTCGCGCGTGCGCGCTTGCTTGGCGCTTGTTGAAGCGGGCGCCTGTTGGCTGACTTGGCCCAGCACCGGTTCCGACCAGCTGAATGCAGGGTGGTCTGGGTATTGGTTTTGAGCGAATTTGACGGGCCCAGGCATGGTTGGGGGGGAGGAACAGCAATGCACAAGCGTTCTGTTTCAGCACGCCAGTGGTAGCAGCTGCTGGCACGGTGCCTATCGCAGCGCAGTAAGTTCGGTCGGTAGTTATTATTGTGTAGCAGTGGCAGTGGCATTGTGGAGCAGTCGCCCCCATTGCAGAGCAGTGGCAGGCAAATGAGCGACGCAAAAAAGGGGTCGTCGGCGCCGACATTGGCGCGTAAGCTGCCCGCGTAAGGACGCACGTGAACGCCCTCGTCGCCAAAATAGCGTTCCGCGCTGGCGGCCCGCATAAGCCACCGCGTAAGGTCGCTGTGCCGTCTCGCATAAGACCCATTTGGGTCGTCGCGCAAATGCTGTAAGAGCAGCGTGCCTGGAATTGCAACATCTCAGCGGAATCCGATCTCCCCTCCGCCGAGAATAGCAAGGGCCACTATCGGATTGGAGCCCCTGATGCATCCTCTCCTACTGCACTGCGCCTCTTGTCTAGCAACTTTGGCGGCGCCTGCTGGCACGGGTCGGCAGCAGGCGCCGCTTTTCAAGATTACATTTGAACGGATTGGCGCTTTCCATCAACATTTCGTGAGGAAGGTGTCGCAGTTGCCTTTCAAGGGAGGTCACGCGAAAGAAAAACAATAGTAATCATATTACGAAGAAGAAGAGGGAAAAAAGAGGAAGCAGTTTCTCTGATCTCTGCAGCTTGCGACGCCTTCCTCGCCAACGCGAGCCGCAGCACGAGTCGTAGACACTTTTTTTTAGGGCGCGCAGAGAGGTGTGCTCTGCGCTGCTGCGGCCCGGGGCCCAGGGTGGCGCACTTCAGACTGTCTTGTTCCGAGCATTTTCTTCGGGTGGAGGGCAGAGGGTGAAATCTGAAATGCCGTTTCGATGGATCTTCGAGGCTTGAATCTGCAAGCGGTGAATCACAAGATGGATTGATCTTCGAGGTGCGGCAAAGCCCATATGGATTTCATCCTCAGCCCTCCAACCTAAGAAGATGCTCAGTTGTTGTTCTCTTCGGGGGCGGATGGGGAAGCACTGAAGAAGGTTCGAACGGCTCGTTTTCACCAGGGTGCGCCGGCGGGGTCAGGGGAGGATTTGTTGCCGCGAGACGCGAGCCGGACAGCCGTACAGCGCCGGTTTTAATACATGCTCCGCGTGCGGATCATATATTAAGAATAAAGGGAGTTAGGATTAAAAACAATGGTGAAACTACGCATTGATTTATTAGTAAATTAACCATGTATCAAAAATCCTATATATTTGAACATCCTATGTATTAAAAACTGCCCTGTACAGCTTCACATCGTCACGCATGACCTGTTGCGTGGAGGTGGCGTATGGCTGATCCACACCACAGCGGCAAATCAGACCGATCAGTTTGTTGTATCTGAGCTGCCCTCGCGCCCCCCCAGCGCCCGACACGCCTGGTGCGTCTGGCTCAGCCGAAAGGTTGTCATGACGAAGAAGTGCCTCGAGGACAGTTTTCCTCCTGGCATTGCTACCATGAAGAAGAAGGGCCGTGAGGGAAGCCCCCCGGCATTGCCCAGGAAAGCCAGTGGCGCACGCCCTGTCCAAAGATTCGGTGCGTTGTGCGCGGCTCCCGCGGTTTTGAGCACCTCCGCGCAGGAGGTGGCGGTCTAGCAGCTGGGCGAGGGGCATCCCTGGGAGGGGCCGCGAGATAGGATGAGCAGTCATTCCATATCGGGAGTTGGTTACCATAAGCAGGCTGCCAGCGACGCGAGTTCGCGTTGCTTTTTAATGCACGTCTTAGCAGTTCGGTAATTCGTGGCGACGACGCTAGCTGAGAGGTTCCCTGGTGCCGATTACCGCCGACCCAGCGAGCCACAACTCACCATAGTTGCCATCTGCTCATTTCCTCTTCTACCCATCTCGGCATACCAAGGTCTCCCTCGACTCCTTTCTCTGCCCACTACCTTAGGTCACAAAGTCGGACGCTCCCGTCCTTGGCCAGCCGGCAGGGTGGCTAACGATCCACACTTGCCTGACGGGTCTTCCTAGTAAAATTGCCTGCGCGTGGATGTGCGCGCAAGCACAAGACGTCCAGAGAGCGAGGGGTGCTTGCTAATCCCCTGTAGGACTTTTGCAACTCTGCGTGTTGAACCTCTTCTCTTTCTGCCTCCATCTCCCTCTCTGTCCCTCTCCCGCCTGCGCCTCCTCCGCTCCCTCCTCCGCCCCGGACAACTCTGCCCTCTCGGGGGGGCACGTGGCCCCCGCGCCAGGCGCGGAGCCGTTTACCCGCCTTCTGCCGGAGCCATTCGGGCCTAGCCGAACATCGAACTATTGGGCAGGGGAGGGGGCCATATATGATCACAGCGGGGGAAAGAACTACCACAGGCAAGGGACTTTGTCTATGACCCAAGGCTCGTGCCTTCCCAGCCACGGGTCTGAAGCCAGTGCGCACCGTGCTTTTTGGACAAGGGCGGCCTGCACGCGTTTGAGAACCCCCGCGGCGTCGTGGCGTTCTCCCGCTTCTGCTCCTGCTCCCACTCTGGCCCCCGCAGCCTCTGGGTCAGGCCTGTGCCAGCTCCTGCTCGGCCCCCGCTCGAACTTCCGCCCGAGTTCCTACTCCGGCTCTTCCTCTTCCTTTCACGAAGGATGGTGCCGCGTGCGGGCCGCTGGGCGTTCCCCTTACAGCGGTCCCGCTTCGGCCAGAGAGGGCCATCCTTCCAGCGTCGGCCGCTGGTAGGCGATAGTTCGCATCCAAGAGCCTGCAGAGGTCACCAGGACTGCTGAGTGACAGAGGCTCGCAATGGTTGATTGATTGATTGATCCTCCCTCTCCTCCTCCTCCTCCTCCTCCTCCTCCTCCTCCTCCTCCTCCTCCTCCTCCTCCTCCTCCTCCTCCTCCTCCTCCTCCTCCTCCTCCCCCTGCTTCGTGGCTCACTCTTGCCCCCCGCCCTCGGGCCTGGCACCGCTCCCTCTCAAGTCCATCCTTGGCCGCCATGTTGCACTTACCATTGAAGTCGCGCGTGTCCCTCTTCAGGAGGAATATTCAAAAATAGTGAAACAATAGTCAGGGGACGATTTGTGTCACTTATTTTTGATTATTGTTGGGTGTTTTTCCTTTCTTGGTATTTTTATTCTTCGTCGAAAATTGGCCAATAGGGGGACATGCCCGACCTAAACTTACCATGACGTTGACATTTCTCCTACGTGGCCCCTTTCTCCGCAGCATTTCCATTGCCGAATCGCATGTGTCTTCCGAACCGCCTCACGGCTATAATATCGACCCCCACAAATAACACTTGCGGGCGATAGGACAATGATTGTGAATACGCGAGACACAAGTGCGAAGCTATTGGCCATAAGGCCTACGCGGATGCAGACCAGACAAGAGAGAACATTGCTTGACGCAGGGAGGTAGATGTGTGGCCGGGGAGGAATACAACCTGTTTCCTCACCCCTCCCTCCCTCCTTCCTACATAACTTATCGCTCCCCCTTTCTTCTCCTCACTCCTTTCTCCTCCCTCCTCCCTCGTGCCCATCCTCCCTCCTCCTCCCTTTCCCTTTCTCGTTCCATGTCTCCTTCCTCTGCTCCCCCCTCTTGGCGCTCCCCAAGCCGGCGTGGGCGCGGTGCTGCCGCGCGCGAGCGCAGGGACACAGGCAGCGGCAGCAGCAACGGCCCCACCTCCTCCTCGTCCTTCTCTTCCTCCTCCTCCTCCTCCTCCTCCTCCTCCCCCTCCTCCTCCTCCTCCTCCTCCTCCTCCTCCTCCTCCCCCTCCTCCTCCTTTTCCTCCCCCTCCTCCTCCTCCTCCTTCTCCTCCCCCTCCTCCTCCTCCTCCTCCTCCTCCTCCTCCTCCTCCTCCTCCTCCTCCTCCTCCTCGCCAGTCCTTTTCCTTATACGTATGTTCGGCTTTCGTGGGCTGGACAGTCGAAAAGCCAGCCCCAGGGAAGTTGTCCAGACCTCAAGGGGGTCCACGCATAAAGAAAAGCAGAACGCCGGATGTCTGGGGCGCCACCGCTGGTCCCTGGGATCCTCGGTCGAGCGGCGAGACAACAAAGCATCACGAGGGGGGGGCGTGGCCAGTTGCGGCCCACGGGAGCCCTCAACATGCCCCGGGGCCGTGACGAAAACGACCTGGGGTGAAAAACTGGCCCAAGGGAAGATTTCCGGACCTCGGGGGGCTGACGTTGCGAAAACAACACGGCGCCGGGTGCCCAGGGTGGCAGCGGGGGCAGCGGCAGCTGCGGCGCCAGCGTCAGCAGTCGCGACAGCGACGGGAGCAGCAACGGCGCTGGAAATCCGAGGTTCCGAAGAATTGGCACGGCCAGCGGGCGGCTTTTGGCTACTTTTAAGACGGGCATGTCCCCCTACAAGAGGAATATCCAACAATAGTCAAACAGTCATCATGAGACGTTTTTTTGTTTTTTTTTTGTTTTTTGTTTTTTCATTTTTGGGGGGATCTTTTATTTTTCGTCCAAAATCCGCCTGTAGGGGGACATGCCCGACCTAAGGCTACTTTCGGCATCTGGGGGCCCTCAGCGGACCCTGGACCGCTTTGAAGACGACTCGGGAGGAAACGCCAGCCCCAGGGAAATTGTCCAGACCTCCAGTGGTCCACGCCTCGAAAAGATCAGAGCGCAGACCCGGTGGTTTGGGCTGGTTTCGGCCCTGGGATCCTTCGACGGGCCCAGGGACCGCCAGAAAGCGATCTGGGATGAAATGCCGGCCCAAGGGAAGCAACACGACGTCGGATGTCCGGGAGGCAGCGTGGGCAGCGGCGGCGGCGGCAGCAGCAGTGGCGCGGGCAGCGGCAGGCAGCTGCGGCACCAGCGGCAGCAACAGCGACAGCGACAGCAGCGGTGGCACCAGCAGCATCGGCAGCGGCGGCAGCAACGGCAGAAGCAGCAGCCACGGCAGCAGCAGCACGGAGGGGGGAGCGGCAAAGGATGGAAGGGAGGAAGGGAAGGGGGAGGGAGGGGAGGGACACACTTTTTGTTTTGTTTTGATGCGCTGCGCAGGCGTGGGTGCACCAGCCGCAAGCAACACTTGGAGAGGTCCCCGGGCATGAACCCAGCGAGGCAATGACGAATGCAAATTCGAAGGATTGCAAACAAAAACCAACGATTGCAAAAAAGATATGCAAACAAAAAACGTGTTTTTTGCAATCCTTCGTTTTTTTTTTTTTTTTTTTTTTTTTGCAATCCTTGGTTTTTTTTTGCAATGGTTCGTAGCTTCTGAATTGGCTCTCAAGACGCATCGGGGTCACGCACGGCGTGCCAAGAGGAGGACGAACAGTCAGGAACAGCTGGAAACGCGCGTCGATGAGAGCATCGTCGCATTCGAGACTTGGCGCGGGGGCTCGAAGTGCAAAACGCACCAGCGTGCAGCCAGGGAAGGGACGTTTAGGACGCAAGGGAAGGCCACCGAAGCGTGGTTCCACAGCGCGGCAGGCGCCGCGGCGCGACAACGAACGCCGCCAAGCGACCCACCAGCAGCGCAGAAGACTAGCACACGGCGCGGTCGCGCACCGCGGCGTGGAATGCATTGTGAAACGGGTTCCGCTTCCCCGGGGCGAACAAGGGAAAGGCTCGGCCAAGCGACATTCGGCCTAAAATCTGCCCAAGGCCGAGATTCGACTAGCCGAGTTCCGCATGGGTCGAATATCTCCGGCCGAACTTCTCCAACCGATTCTGTCCGCCCGAGCTTTTCCGGCGCGAGCTCGCCCGTCCGAATCTTTGAAGCGAATTCCCGCTGCAAGCCGAGTTCGCCTGGCGAGTGCGGGCCGAGTTCAGTTTGGCGCTATCCTGCCCCGGCTGAGTGACTCTGGCTGTCTTCTTCCTCCGAACATTCTCTTTGGGTGGAGGGCAAAGGGTGAAATCTGAAATGCCGTTCCGATGGATTTTCGAGGCTTGAATCTGCAAGAGGTGAATCACAGGACGGATTGCTTCCCGTGGTGCAAAAGCCCCTATGGATTTCACCCTGAGCCCTCGACCCTGAGAAAATGCTCAGCTGTCTTCTTCCTGGGCCGAGTTTGCCCTCCCGAGCTTCTCTTGCCG